TCAATATATCTATTGCTTAAACGTGAATGTAATTGTAACATGATCAGACAAAATAATCTATTGGTTAATAATGGCAAAAGGAAAATAGAAATCACAAAAATGATGTGCATTGTCTTAATTTGCTTAACAAATCATGATAAATGTATTTTTCTGTCACACGTGTAAAGTAATAATGAATATGCATGAGATGATTGGTTTCAATTGGCCCTATTAGACTTTAATAGGATTTCCTGTGGCAGACCTGCCGCAGACTGTTCCTGTGGCGTACTGGTATGCGGCAAGTCTGGAGCAAAGTTTCGCCCTGCCGCAGATCTGCCGCAGACTGTTCCTGTGGCATACTAGTATGCGGCAAGTCTGGAGCAAAGTTTCATCCTGCCGCAGATCTGCCGCAGACTGTTCCTGTGGCATACTAGTATGCGGCAAGTCTGCAGCAAAATTTCATCCTGCCGCAGATCTGCCGCAGACTGTTCCTGTGGCATACTAGTATGCGGCAAGTCTGCAGCAAAATTTCATCCTGCCGCAGATCTGCCGCAGACTGTTCCTTTGGCATACTGGTATGCGGCAAGTCTGCAGCAAAATTTCTTTCTGCCGCATACTTCGGCATACTCTTTGCCGCAGACTAAAAGTCTGCGGCAGGTCTGCGGCAGATCTGCGGCAGGTCTGCGGCAGGTCTGCGGCATACTTTTCACTTTTCTATGGGACCCCAATGCCCGAAAGAAACGCACTTTTTAGAAAACTTCACTTTTTCTCGCAAAAATGCTGATTTGTTATATGCACGCAAGTCAGATTGAGCGGATGATACAGCGTTCCATATGCAGATAAAAATCAGTTCTTTTGCCAAATGATATTATGCTTATTCAATGGGCAAGTCGAGAAGCAGCAAAAAATTACTGTACAAAAGTCCTATCGCAGGGAGATAGTACTTATCTATCATTGATCATGTGACCTCGTTTAGACCAATCAGATTGCAAGATTCTTAGTATGCGGGATATAACAATTACTATTTTGTTTACTTAGTAATGCATAACGAACACACCCCCGCAACGGTGCACGTGTACAAATAAAAAGTTGAAATAAAAACATCGCTCAAGTAGTTTTATTCTTCAGGCTTTGATACGGGTCTTTTACCCGAAACGTCAGTGAAGAAGAAAATAGTCCTTTCGTGGTTTACTTTCAGTAATTTTACTTTAGTTTCTAATTGACAATCCGTTAAACGACTTATTGTCCACAACAGGAAATTCTCATGTATCACTAACTACTCAATATTGAAAAAAACACTAGATATTGATTTCGAGATACACTGAACTATAATACTTTTTTTGTTTGTGTATAATAAATCTTAGTATGTACCTTCAAATAAATGATACATGCACTGCGTTGGCAGGATATTTGTGAATTTCATAACTGCACACATTGTCACGTTTGTTATATATATATATATATATATGCCAATAATTCTCAAACATTACCGAAGTGAATAATTGTGTCATCAAGATTGTGAGATTAAGACTTCAATATATTTTTCTATGTTTGTAGCTTGATGCTACTCACTGGCTTTCAAAATGACACGCTCGTTGCGCGCACGAGGCATCATTTCGATTGCGCATGCGCCAATAGGCTAAAGCCTATACTTGAAAATTATCGATATCCCATGTACCTATAATCCTATGCAGTGTTTGCGTTGTTCATTTTGCAATGATCCTTTGTGCGATATCACTCTCACAAGTCGCGCCAAAGATCCAAGCGTCAGTCACTGACGCAGTACTGTGTCAGCAAAATGACGGTTGGTGCAAATTAACCCCGGCCCCCCCCCCCCCCCACTCAGTGTTATTTAGGGTACGCATATGCTCGTACCCTCTTTTTGAAAGCACCCCCTATCTGAGGACTGCCAACATTTCCGAACCCCCCTTTCGCGGGCTTTTCGCGGGCTTTTCCTGCCTTGGAGACCCCCCTAAATCAGGAAAAATGCTCAATGTACCCCCCTAAATTCGGAATAATTTCTCAGGAGTCCAAAGAGATAAGAGAGAAAAAGAAAAACACCCCCTTTTTAAAGAAATCTCCGGGTGAAAAGTCAAATACACCCCTTTTTTCACAAATCTCGGGCCGGACTTTGTCGCACGAAAAGTACCCCTTTACCGGACATTTTGGCAACACGCATGCGGTCATTCCGACCTCTGAGTGGGGGGGGGGCCGGGAAATTAACGGTTCCTGTTTTAGATACAAGATCACGAGGTCTCATGGATACCATTTTTCAAGGACGAGTTTTCGGTTGATCCGGGTTGTTCTCGGTTGTTCTCCGATAACATTCTGTCGTACTGGAGACAAGTACGTTTCCTAGATACTTTTTCTTCTTCTCTCTTTTCTTTCTAGGAATATATGTAGCATCTGCAGACTCTCTTTGAGACAATTCAATTCAAGACAGGCGACCGCATTGTAATTTGATTTGCTAAACACATGGGACTTCATCGTGAAAGTAGGGTAGCTTAGTTACATCACCTTTTTGTCAGTTTTTCATTTACTTCCTTCAGATTATCAACAGATTTATATTTAAAACAAGTTAATCGTGAATACATGGATGTCTGGCAGATTACCAGATTTCAGTGGAGTAAATACAACTTCCTAGCTGTTCTCATCCGGGTCATCACAACAACGAAAATCCATCTTCATTAATTGGCCCCAACTATTGGGAAACAGAAAAAAAAGTAACCAGCCCCACCACCATCATGCACCGATATCACCACCATGCAGTCTCTGTGCACCACCATAATGTATCATAACCATGCACCATCACCACCACCCTGCAGTCTCCATGCACCACCATGTACCACTACCATGCACGGTCACCATCAGGCACCCCGCTACCACCATGCCCTGCCACCTGGTTCCACCATGCCCCGCCAAAACGCACATCCATGCACCACCACCAGCAACAAGAACACTATAAACAGTAAGAGCTTGTAAAATACTGGGAAAGAATGATGATGGTCTATTTTCGGCACATTCAATGTATGTTTATTTCTTCATACTTTTAAAATGAAAATTTAATACACTTGATGACTTCAATAATTGAAATTGCAGTTAGACATATACATGTATTTGTATACAGTAGTTATTAATTACAAAAAAAGTGATTCTAAGCAAGTGACATTCTGATGATGTTTGAAGAAGAATTAAAGCATGGACAAGAAAATGTGTATCTGAGAACATCATCAAACAACAATGATCGGAAATAATAATAGTAATGATCTGGTTTTATGTACTGCCTTTTACACCAATGATGTCTCCATTTGTTTAACAGAGATATTTTTTAACTCGGGCTGGTCATCTGATTCAGGCTTGACTTCACACATTGTATGCACATTCTCCACTCCATGGGGAGCCTACTAGCCAGGCTTCAATTTACGCACGCTCACTGTGCATTGCAAACTACTACTACCAGGACTTGCCAAATTATGTTAGCGCCAGGCTGAGATTTAAACCCTCAACCTTTGGATTACAAGTCAAATGAATGAACCACTAAACTACAACACCTCTATTAGGAAAGTAATGTTTGTATGCAAAGGTCTTCAGAAGGTTGACTGAATTCACACATAAAATATTGGTACAGAGTCATAAGAACAGTACTGTTATAGGTACAAAAATAACATGAAGTATGCTTAAAGGGGATACAGCATAATGAGACTACGTTTTTTTTCCCGTGGCCCGACTCGGGGCCAATCGGTATAACACGACTACTGATAACACAACCGCAGTATTCACATGCGTGCAACATATGCAAAACCGAAACGTGAGAAGAACTCCGGTCTATTTCGCGAACACTAGCCAATGACCGTTAATCAAGTCCATTCGTTTACATGCAGTTTTCCAAAAGAAGTTGTAGATGGCGTCAACCAGTATTTGCCATGCTACACCCCCTTTAATAGCACATTGTATTCAGCCATGATCTCAAACCCACATGTCATTCGAATATCACATAAACCCATAATAGTAGCCAAAGACTAGATACAATTATATCCCTCATGTATAGTTTTTTTTTGCATTTTGATTGTACATAGCAAGAAAAAGGGATAGTTTTGCTATTAAATTTAATAGTTCATTCCGGAATCCACTTTTTCCACCGCGATCATCGATATTTCTGCGATCAATATCCAAATTTATGTTCTCGAGTACGAGTATGAATAGTTTTAGCTTGTTCTGAGAATGAGTCATTGTAATTTTTTTGTTCACCCCTTCCACCTGTATCATTCCTTGGACACTTCTGTAATAACATGTACCGTACTCACATTCATATCACAGTAAAAATATAAATAAAAGAAATTTGCATGGCTCAAATGAAATATTGAAAGATGCAAATATGTTTAGCTGGCGCTGTACAGGTACTACGGTGGTGTTCTAGTGCTAGTGTGGTTACTGCACAGCGTTAAGTGCACGGCGTAGGCGCTGTGACACCGCGGGAGTTGCCAGCTATGAGGCATTTTAAATCCTGTACGCTCGCTGAATTTTGCCATTTTAACTGATCTGGTTAGTCATTCACTTTTAATGTAATTTAGGCCTTTGCTGCTAAATGCTCACAGTACATGTTTCTTTGTAATAGTGAGATGCTCATGAGCGATATAAAACAGATATACATTATCTTTCATGGCTCTAGCAAACTATGACCATTCAGAGGCATAAATAGCAACTTTCCCTCGAGCCAAAGTTATATCAAATTTTCTCTCGGGGAAAGTTACTATTTATGCCACTTCATTAGCTCATAGCTTTTGCTAGACCCTTGATTGTACTTCACTCTTCTCCTCCCTCCCCCCCCCCCCCCACAAAAAAAAAATAATAATAATAAAAATTAAAAATAAATAAAATATATAAAGGTACATGCATTAATCCTCATAAGCCGTTGGTATCCTGGTTGCTTACTAATAAGCATTTATGCTTTCTTAACGGTACGGTAAAGTAACCACCACTACCACTACTACTACTTCTACTAATACTAAATATATAAATTTAAAAAAAAATATTAATAATAGTAATAGTTTTAAGAAAACAAAAAATAAAGAAAAGCTGCTCATAAATACAATGTACCTGCATGTTCAAGACTTGCCACACCATAACAAAAATCCTACCTGTTACCCTAGAAACACTTATATAAATCCTACAAAGAAATGCACATCACGCCCGTCGTAAATGTACAACGGTATCAATACATGGAACCAATTTACGTTAGAGCGAATATAGGAGATTGAATGTATTCAACTGAAGTAAATTGTGACCACTGGAGGGATTTGACATGATACAAGCAATAATAATGTCATCTAAACTTCACAATGAAAGCTCTGATATTCCATCCAGAAAGCTTGCGAAGGGCTTGAGAGCTGGTTTGACTTCAGCCTCTAAGAAATTGGTCACCTGAAATATGAAAAAGGAAAAAAGAAGTCAAGTCGGGATAAGGTCACTGAATGAACATGATGGATGTTTGCCAAATTATACTCATATCATCGTTTCCATTCAATTACAAATCGCCCAGTTGGATTTGACATCACATAAATTGTAAAAGGAGGTAGATTAAAAATAAGCTAGTGGCATGGAAACCTGCATCAAGAATGTTTCCTGGATAGCTGAGGCATAGCCCATACATCATATCTTGATTAGGCTAAATATGTCTGCAACATTCAGTCATGTATGAACCACATTGCAAATTAGATGCAGCAACATCAGCAACAATGAAACCCCTTTCACTTATTTAAGGGGATAGGAAAAACTAGCATTCATTGGCAATGGTACAGTTCTATCAGACCTGAACATGTGACGGCATGGTGCTTAGGTTGTACATCTCACCAGAGAAAATTATACACAACAAATAAATAAAGTGGATACTGTATTCTCTCGCAGAGAGGCCGCAATGTTGAAAAGGCCGCAGCCCAAATTTTGACAACTCGTTCGGGGGGGGGGGGGGGGGGGGGGGGGGCGGCGATCGGTAACAAAATGCACTACAAATTTGACATTTCAAAAGGAATAATAATAAACAGAAATAAAAGCCAAACTTTCAACATTTTCAGATTTGTAATACCGTAGAGTTGTAGAGGTTTTTTTTTATGTCAGTACGATGAAAATGAGAATCAGACAGAGTGAAGTGCTCGCAAAACAGTGTACATCTCTGTGTACTTCAAAATACATGTTCATGCTATTTCTCAACTTCAAAAGATCGATCTTAAATTAGAGTTCCACAGCTGAATGCATCACGCAAATTGAGGCACCATTACAGACAATTTTTGCTCTTCTACACTTTCTTTCTACAGAAACCAGGATCCAAGCCTGATCTAACTATAATGGATACATAACCAAGTTTACAGTAGATAAACAAATCTTACAGATTTGTTTCTACTCAGGATTGAATCATACAAAGAGGTCAATTAATAGAAATTGTTTTTAAAAAGTTGAATGGTAACAAATTTCATAATTGCAGTACAAAATCCATTGCTCAGATCTTTTTCTTCTACGGATCAAATCCTACAAAGGGTCACTTAATAAAACAAAACTGTAAAAAAAAATAAAAAAATACAGATAATAGATTTCACAAATCTGTACTTTGAAAAATGGGAATGAGGATAACACTCACCTGTTCTGGGGCTCTGCCGACAAAGGTGGTTGGGTCAAGTAGCTTGTCCAGCTGGTCATGAATAGGTGCAAAGTATGCTGACCCTCTAACTCTGGCTACCAGGTCATTATCTCCACCTTCTTGCTTGACCACTGCTGCAGCTTCTTGGGACAAAGTCCGGATGTGCTCGTGGCAATCCTGTCAACAAATTATGGATACACTTGAGAGGGTAAATCCAGAATGCATATTTCCTCTAAACCTCTCAAAGACTTTTATTTTGTTGTATTTTACATTGTTGGAGCTGTGTGATTGGTGCATTTTTTTTTCACTCTCTCTTCATGTAGTAATAGATTTGTAATAAATTTCTTTTTTTAAGAACGAAACTTCGGTTGGTGTTTATCTTTTTTGAATACCTTGCCTTTTATATACCTCATACATAGATTGTCATTCACTGATTGGTCAAAACAATATCACATGTCAAAGAGCATTTCGATCTATCAAGTATTATTACGTCAGAGGGTTTGATAGCTACTATCAAACCCCGGGATAGGACCCCTAACCCCTCCCGCGACTTAGTTACGCACACCAATTTTTTGAGTTGCTAGGCTACCGCAATCGCGCGCACGGTTACGCGCAGCGCGTAGGAATTCAATACTCTTGCCTTTAATTTTGACTTGATGTTGGATTTTTCTTATTCCGGTGAGTGAATTCCTCTTGATCTCGTTTCCTGTTTTTTAGAGCTAGATCTAGACATACAGCTAGAACTAATCATGAATCAATAAAAAGGATGAGGTATATAAAACAAATATGGACTGCTCTGTAATCGGATGATGGTGGGAACTACCACTCCCTCGGTGGTGTTCACACCGGCCCTTCTATCACCCCCTCGGCTTCGCCTCGGGGATGATAGAAGGGCCGGTGTGAACACCACCTTGGGAGTGATAGTTCCCACCATCATCCTCATGAGCAGTCAATATTTGTATACTATAACACTTTGGATTGATTTAATTGTATAGCCACACAAATTTTAAACATTATACCCTTGACATTCAGATCTATGCATACATATACATGTACATGTGCAGGGAAAAAATTATTAAAAAAATTTTTTTTGGGGGGGGGCTACTTTTCAACCTTGCTTGCATGAAAATAACACTTTTTAATTTGTTTTTGCATTGAACTCTATGCAAATTTTTTGGGGCTCTTTTAGGCTTTTTTGGGGGGTAATTCGCCCTGAGCCCCCGTGTATTCTTTTTACTGTACATGTGTTTGTATATTAGTCACCCTTATCATTTCTGTATTGAGAGAGAGAGAGAGAGAATGGGAGATAGAATGAGAGAGAGAGAGACAAACACATAGAGACAGAGACAGAGAGAGAAAGAGAGAGACAGAGAGAGAGAGAGAGAGAGAGACAGAGAGAGAGACACAGAGAGATATTTGACCCACGTACAGGAGTGTGGTCACAGGTCATGGTCATATAATAGCCCCCTCACATGTACAATCTATATTAGAGAAGGAGCTACCGGTATGTGTGACTCCTTTAAATGACTGACACATCTTCCACTGACAAAATGCTCTCTCTCAACTGGCTGTATGTGTCCTTACCTGTCTGCTGCCCCCTGCCTTCACCATCGCTACAATCATGTTTTCAGTTGCCATAAAGGGAAGCTCTTGGAGTATATGACGCTCTATCACCTGAGGAAAGATAAAGGAATGTTCATCATCGATACAGACATACGGAAGAGAAGTGGTAGGAACGACTGATGAACAGAGGAAGAGACAAAGACAGAGAGAGAGATGGAGAGAAATAGAGAGGGAGGGGGTGGAGACGGAAAGGAGGTAGGGGGAGACGGAAAGGAGGTGGGGAGAGACAGGCAGACAGATAGAGGGAGGTACAATTTTGCTGTCTAGATAAAACTGACATTTAATTTAACTTGTGTAGGAGAAAGACAATAATCTTGGACATATAGCAGACAAGGAAAAAAAAGCAGATGATAAACAGACATGAGCAAGAAAGCAAAAGTAAAGATAATTAGAGATAAAAATGAGAGAGAAATGAGGGACTACGAGAAAGAGAGAGAAAGAAATTGTAAAATTCAACTTAGAGTTTTAAACAGTGTGATATAACCCTCTCAAGACAATCGTTCTACATTTTGTGTTTTGGCTCAATTTATGATTCAAAGCCCTATACAAGATGCCTGTGTTGTGTAGAAAGGGGGGAGTGGGGGGGGGGGGGGTGAAGTCTGCATAAATATTTGTTGTTGCATGACCATATTGTATTTTTATGGAAGCATTTTCGAGAAGGAAAATAAGCTTTCAAATGCTTTGTTTGGCAACATGTTGAGAGGTTAAAAATCATTGTTGTTTTTTAATAAAAATTGGCTAGTTCCTCAACCTTTTGAACTTTTTAGAAAATCATTAATATCTTTGTGGTTTGAGAATTTTTTCAGAATTTGTTTCTATGTTAGAGGGTTAGTATAGTAGAAGGAAGATAATAACTAACATTTCATACCAAAATTACACAATTTTGTAGTCAACCTTCAACATTGTTACCGAGTCACTTTAAGCAATTTACGTTCGTTCAACATGTTTTTTTAATCATATATGAATGGGGCCTTAATAGAAATGGTTCTAACCTTGAGGTAGACGACCATTCCTTCTGAAATGTTCTGGAGAGTACTGAGTAAGACATCCGCTGTCAAGAAAGCTTCTGCTATACATATCCTCCTGTACATGGGAACAAGTCATAATCAATAGATTAAAGATGATTCCAATTCTTAAGCTCCTTTTCCATGATCCTATAATAAACCCTGGCAAAGTGGATTTTCATCTTGACTGTCACTTCCATGGAACTGAAGCTAGTCTAGGCGATGTAATCATCATCAGGGGTGATAGTGAGCACTAAAAAAAATAGGTTTTTTGTTTTCCCTCAACCAAGCCCCCTTGAGTAAAAGAAGAAAAAAAAGAGAGGATTCAAGGGGGAGGGGGGGGGGAATGGCATCTTACAACATTCCCCCCCCCCCCTTTTGAGTAAGAAAATTTGGAACAATAGAGACAATAAGAGGAAAATCGGGAAGGAAAAAAAAAAAAAAGGGTAACCAAAAAAAATCAGGAAACATCGGGAAACCGATTTAAATCAGGTAACTATCAGGTAAGCATCACGTATTTAGTGTCATCTGTGCCTGGGAGGGGAAAAGCACTTTGAATCACTGTAAGTAATGGGTCTCTCCTCCAGGTAAAACTGATTGGTATGTGCTGTTGGACCAAAGGGTTTTCCCCTACTCTTTTCTGAAAAGGGTAAGAAATGTCCAAAAGTGGTGACTCTCCTCCAGACAGTGCTTCCATTTAATGTCCTGTCCTATCTGAGCAGTGGAGTGTCTTCCATTGTTACCTAGCTTGCATCTACGAAACATGGATGGGGCACATGAATACACAACGCAGGCTTCAGTCATCCACCTGTGTTAAAGTCGAACCATCATCTCTGTTTTGACATGCTTACACTCTAAGACACTCTATCAACCGAGCTCTCCTTGTTACAAGCATGTACACATCATGCACATGTGATTTAGGTCTCTCTCTTAATGCAGGTGAAGTGTTTCTTTTCCTTCTTCTTTTTAAATTTTGTAATCGGGTGTTTAATATGATTCCTCATACTCCTGCAGTGTTGTAAAATCTCAGCAAAGTGTTCATAAAGGGGCCTAATATGTCTATTAGCTCTGTCATTTAAAGTTGATGAGTTGAAAATTAATTCCTTTTTCACAATCAGTAGACTAACTACCTGTTTTGGTTAGCTTTTATTTAATCTGCTGCAAGCTTCTTCAGCCCTATGTCGTAGCTGCCGCTATTGCAGATGCAGTTCAATGATATGGTAGAATGGGATCATACGTGAAAGAAAGAATATATTGGCCTTCTTGTTTTAAGGCTCATTCTACTATATTGTCCTACTGCATCGACAACAGCACCGGCTACGACAAAGTTCTGAAGAAGCTTGAAGCATGCCATGCAAAAGCTTACCGAAACCGAAAATTTTTCTACTAATTGTGAAGAAGGAACCAATTTTCAAGTGACATCACAAATAAGATGAACCTCTTCAGTAATCTCACCTGTTAGCGCTATCATCCAGTGTTCTTTCAAACCATTGAACAGAGAGAGTCTGCAGAGGATCCATGACGAGCGTTGTGAGATGCCTTGCTAGGGAACAGCACCTCTCGCTTCTCATGGGGTTACGTTTGTAAGGCATGGCACTAGAACCAATCTGATCCTTCTCAAACGGCTCCTCCACTTCCTTCAGGTTTGCTAGCAGACGTATATCAGTGCAGATCTACAAATTGGTTACACAAAATTACAGTCAAAGTAGTCGATGACAATGGGTGTTGCATGCTTTATTTACAAAGTGAAAGCCATTGTTTTTCGAGAATACATTCTCATCATATCATAAATTGCCAAAATGTACATTCTAAAAGGTTAGAAGAAAAAAGAAATTGTTAACAATTTTTCATAGAAAACACATGGAAGATTCCTAATAAAGGAAATCATACATTGCCAATGTGTATAAGGTTTTTCAACACTTCAAAACCTAATGATTTTTTTTCTAAATATACTTCACATATTCATCACAACTAACCCTGACCCTTTTTCTGTGATTTTTTATGAATATTCAAATCAATTCTGGGAGAAGTTTCCATCCAAAGAACTGTTTTTAGTTTTCCAATCAAGTGGATTTGGTATGAACCAAAATAAAATTGTAACATTTATGAACAAGGATTGACAATCAAGTATATGGACCTGGTGACAAATGCATCCAGCAGAATGTCTAATTTTTCAGTTTGCTTCAAACAAGGCTAGTAAACTGGCCTGTGTCCCGTTGGTGCCTTTGACGCCCCTAAGCCTAAATTCATCTTTTAAGCAGGGCTCCCACTTAGCCGAGCTGGAGCCTCGCGTTGTGGCGAGCTGGCGACGAGCTTATGGCAAGCCGTTTTATCATTAAAACATATTTCTTGATATCAAGAATTCAATTCTTGATATCGCGAAATCGAATTCTTGATATCAAGATTGCTTTACAACGTGAAATTATTTCTTGATATCTAGAATTGAATTCTTGATATCAAGAAATATATTTTAATGATAAAACGGCTAGCCATAAGATCGCACCAGCTCGCCACAACTTGAGGCTCCAACTCGTCTAAGTGGGAGCCCTGCTTTACACTGGTCAGATTACGAAGGTCCTACCTTGTGGACAGATGCTCCCAGGCTGGCAAGAGCAGATAAAACATCTACATCAATCTTTCTACTGTACGTCTGACCAGTCACCATGTAGGACCTATAGCACACAAACAAATTATAATGAAACCATGTCATAATTTTTCATTTCCTGTGAAAGAAATAAAAGAATACCAGAAGATTAATATATCCTCTGGAGCCAGAGAGACTTTAAAGCCACACTGTACTACTTGTAGCTACTTGCTCCCTCTATATAGAAAACTTTCCCAATCGTGCCTGTTGGTCCCCCATGATCCTCTTGTTCTTATGTTAATGGAGAGGTGAGTTGGTGAGATGGCCACCTGTCACAGTGACCTCGCTGGCTAGCTGGGTGGTCTAATCCCTTCTGGCTGAACTAGTACAGCCGGCCTTCAAATCAGTAAGTATAATCATACACTTGTAATATCTTTTAAATACAAATATGTTTTTTATCAAATAGAATGAATCAATCTTGAAATCCTGAATTAAACATTTAAAATCCTTCTGGCTCTAAACAAAAAAAGATTTGTTCTTCAATATGATTAGATGGTAATAATAATGGTGGCTTCTTACACAGCGCACAATACGCTAAGGCGTCGAGGGGGGGTCGTTCGCAGTTGTTCGAAATCCGGAGATCCGCCCTCCCCCCGGTCGCCGCCGGGCGGTCGAGCGGACGGAGGGCGTCTCGATCACAGTGCTCGGCCACGTCCCAGCGCGGTGCGACGTCCTGGTCGTCGTTGACATCGTCGATGCGTCCGCAAGTCCTACTTATGCGTCACGAACTAAAAATGGCTGAGCGGTCTGAGGCGCTGGTTGCGTTCGATTTACCGGCAGCTTTTGCACCTTTTGCACGCACGGGTTCGATCCCGCCTCCGTCATGATTTTTTTTTTCTTCCCTGTGTTTGTTTCATATATTTTAGATTTTGTAATCTTTACCATTTTTTATTTTAATTAAAATGAAATATTTAAAATTTAAATGAGTTAAGTCTTTATTTGATATTTATTAGCTTATTTCATGATGAAATCAATTAGATCTAGATCTAGGCCTACAAATAAAATCAGCGCAACAGATGTCTTCCCATCCACGTCCAAACTTAGAGACCTATTTCCATCATTATTGCTGGGATTTTTATATAGTTTTCGTGAATGGAGGTATGAAATCAAAGCTTATTTTGTGATTATTCTGGCCATGTTTACTGAGTTTTGATTATCATTTATTAAAGGAAAGTTTTCACAAGAAAATCAGAGAAAAACATTGTTCAGTTTCAAGAGCTCTGCCATACACATACAGTGTGTAGTGCAATGCACTCTAACTGCGCTGGCTGCTCCACTGAGTGAACGAGTGAGCTATTCAGAGTCGAAGAGACTATGAAGGGCCAAACATGCCAATATTCGTACTATACGCTATATTATGTCTCTCCATCCATGCCACTATTTATGTCTATCCATTCATTGAAGTAGGCCCTACACGTGAACACAACAGCGTGCAGGCCGAAGTGCCATAAGATCGTTGGGGGGGGGGGGGGGGGGAAGAAAAAAAATTTGCATCTTACATGTTACATGCAGGCCCCAAGAAACATTTTTCAAAGTGTGGGGGGAGGGGACGAGGGGGATCAGGTGTATCGAAGCGAGTTGAGTGTAGGCGCGGGGTCCACGGGTTGTGGGGGGGGGGGGACGAGGGGGTTCAGGTAGATCGAAGCGAGTTGAGTGAAGGCGTGGGGTCCACGGGTTGTGGGGGGACGAGGGGAATCAGGCGTATCGAAGCGAGTTGAGTGTAGGCGTGGGGTCCACGGGGGTAGAGTTGCGTACCAACTACGCTGAGTATACGCAAAATGGACGCAATTAAACATGTTCAAATTTTTTTGTAGCAGCGCCCCATGGATGTGTGGCTGAGATAAACTCAAAATGGTGCCACAGCAAAATAGTGCCCGTTTAACGGCGCAAACAGCTATAATAATAATAAAAGCCTAAGAGTCCACTCCAAATTGTATTAAACGGAACAGAAATTCTTTTTGCCCAATTGATTGTGAGCCCGGCAGCCACTGAGCAGCGCCAGATCAACGTTGCTCTATCCCTTATTGTTGAACGCCAAACAAGGTAGCAACAACTCCCATCTTTTAACGTCTTTTGGTATGACACGGCCAGGGTCGAACCCACCACTTCCCGGTTGTAAGGCGAATGCTCTACTGACTGAGCTAAAATGCTCCTGATTTTCCAGCATCATTAACCGACTTATGGCCAAATATGTCGTGCTCTGGGATATTGGGTACCGAATCACACCTCGATGGAGACTGGCAAATGTGGATTACTTTCTTGTCAAATGAATTCAGTGCAGGGCTAAGATTAAAACCCTCAACCCTTTAGACTGAGAGTCAAGTATTATGAACTACTATAGCACGATGCATTCAGGATACATTTTCCTATTTCACATAAATAATCACCCCTCCAACCCACTGGAAACCATTTTAATTTTGGTATGAACCCTTAGACTGAGAGTCAATTATTATGAACTGCTATAGCACGATGCATTCAGGATACATTTCCCTATTTCACAAAAATAATCACCCCTCCAACCCACTGGAAACTATTTTATTTTTGGTATGAAGCATATTTCCTCCATCCCAGGCCATCTTGGGCTTATTCTTCACTGGTTTTACTCTTTATATGCAAGACAAACAAATCTCCCTGTGCCACATTGTATTTATCATAGGATAAAGATACCAAAGGTTTCAACATTATGTAACTGTTTCCAGTGCAATATATATCTATAACAGTCTTAAAAGAATTGTGATGGAGCTACTCAGGGTTCTTGTTAATTTTTCTGATAGCAGGCTATTTATGATTTACAGGAGGCTACTAAAATTGCAAAAGAAAAATCTCTGTGCGCGTAGCGCACATCACCATGTGCGCGAAGCGCACATCACGAGCGCGAAGCGCGAAGTCCCTTGCGGCCGGGGTCCAGGGCCCGCCCAAGGGCCCTGGAAGCTTTAGGGTTTTAGATGCTCTCTGGTGCTATCTTAGCCTTATTTTTGAAGATATGACCACACTGTATGAGCCATAGTTTAATGATAAAGATCATGAATATTTTGGCTGAATAACTTACTTTTCATATGATATACAATATGAAATGAAAATGCTCCATTATTGTTTCTGATAAATCAATCATATTTGTGATGAATCTACAATTTTGAATTACATGATAATGATACAAGGTAGTCCTGGGCAAAAACGGTTAACTGACGTTTACAGGACCTTGTCAGTGAAGAAAATCGTTTGCGATAAAAAATTAAAAAATAATAATTAATGATTATTTCTATAGACTCTAGGCCTACGAAAAAAAAATAGTTTTCGGTACTTTTCTTCCAATCGCCATGCGCTTAACGTTTATATGCAATATGCCACCTCTGTTTTTCGAATCGGTAAAATAGATCGCTAAAAGTAAAAGTAAAAATGTTACAACACGAAAAGAAAAGATCCAGAAAAAAACCTTTTTGTTGTTGTATTGAAACAATTATCAAATAGATATAAGGATTATATCGGTGTTGGACAAAGTTCTGAGTACATATGAGTACAAATTTTCATTTTTTATTCATAATACGGTAGATCTAACTTAGGATTACGACGTATAAATAGCAATGCCAATGCGGGTGATCATTTGGACGCAGAGCGAGCTCTGGAGCTGGCCTCTTTAAATTATTGCGAGCGGAGTTCGCTGGCTTGAGCTTGTTTACGAACGTACGTCTACGGTCTAGTCTCTGTGACAGTGTATGTGTATAGCGTGCCGCACCGGTTGTGCAGCGCTCGTATTCTGAATCGAATCGTGCATCGCCAAATCAATCACAGTTTCACACTAGGCCTGAGTCAAACCGTTTAACCGACGGTTATCCGACCGCATTCATCAAAACCGTTTAGCATTTCTCGCTCCGGTTAACCGTTATTTGCATACATTTTGGAATGTGCTAATAGCCGATGATAAAGATAATCAAAGAAACCGCAGTGTAATGTTACACCCTGGCCGCTGCGCGCCAGCTTTCTGGCAGCAGTAATTCCCATGAATGAATTTGTAAACAATAAAACAACCAGCCCCCTTCTCTCTTTTCTCACCCTCTTTATTCCCTTCTCTCTGCAATGTGTTCATCGCTCATGTACCTTTTCTTATTACTGCACTCTCAGCTCACAACTGTGGTCAGTTCCTCTCACATCCCTTCTCCCCCGAGTCTCTCTCTCTCTCTCTCAATATTAATATCCATCCCTTGACGACTCGCCCCCTAAAATAATGTTCATATATAAATAAAATACAAAAATATTGATAACAATAATAATTGAATTTTTAGAAATATCAATCAACAAAGTCTTGGATATTGTGAGTAATTTAAGTTTTTGATCATTCTTCAATTCAGCCGATTAACACAGCCATCCTTTCTATCGAGTCTCACTTGTCTTACTTGTCTTACTCATGTCCCTGCCTCGTCCATGCAGGGACATGCAGGGACATGCTAGCCCATGCGTGCTCTCTCAGTCACACACACATGTACACACAAACCTCCGGCGCCCAAATACACTGTACATACACACAGATGGAGAGCTCATGCTTGTCACATGCACACTTGTGGGCGTGGCTTCTTGACCTCCCACTGAACTGGGTACAGTGAAAGCACGCGCGGTCACCAACCTGTAATTTATGCTGGTATCAAACTCCACCCACATAGCTAGAGAACCTTCCTCATTGGTCACTAACTTGGATCAGCTCATTGCAGGGTGTGTCTTGGGTGTGTGTGATACACACTTCCACATAATTTCATATGGCAATGATACATGCAGGGAGCTCTCTCCCTGACCATGTGCAAACATTGCATTGCAAAGGCATATATAAACACGTCACAGATCAGCTATCTTCACAGAGTAACTTTGCAAGGTTAATCATGATATCAAGTTCAGATGAGGAATAATAAGACATGTTTTATGTTGTTTATTAGTGGTCTCTGTTTATCAGGATGACCCAATTTGTGCCATAGTCCGGGGCTGGGAATGCTCAGCCCGACAGTCTGAAGACCAGCAGGGTTTGAGATAGCGACTTGACCGAATATGATGTGATTTTTGTATTATTATTTTTTTTTTTGGAGAGGCTTACAGCCGGCTACGATTGCCATTACAGCCGGAAAAAATAGCCGGTTGCCGGCTATTAACAAGAACCCTGCTACTGATGAGCGAAATAAGGTGATTTTGCAAAGCCATTGTGCTGCCCAAAGCAACCCTTCCCTGTATTGATGCCTACTGTCTTATTTTGCTAGGGCACACATGTGGCAAGTGAGAGCCCTTGCAGAAAGGCAAATAAAGCAACAGAAGTGTTATATCTACGACATGACAAGCAAACTAAGTGAACTAAGTTACAACAGGTACTGATGCTACAGGTGCTTCTCTACAATAATGTATGCCCTTTATCACTTTCATTTTGTAAAATATTTGTATAATTGGCACAAACCTCATATTACATCGGCTGTTTGGGCAACAGCATGCAATGCTAGCGCAGTGAGTGCAGGAACTCGGAAACGGTACAATGTATGTTAGGACTGCCTCTGAATATCGGGCTGCTCCAGGTGGTATACAAACTATTTGGTAATAAGCCACAAATACAATTGACAGGTTTTTAGCTCATTAAATGTGTGTTTTCAATAAAAATACATTATTTTCATTGAAGAAATCAAGTTTTCAACATCTCAGCTTATTCAGAAAACGTTCTCCGCTGGGTGGCATTAATCCCTTTTGACCATCAGTCCTAGACGCAGAACCTGACCCCCGGGGCGACGCGACGAGAACACAGCTACCCTCATGAACCTATGATACGACCGTAAGTGATACTTACTTTGGGAAACCAGCCTGGTTGGTAACGAATGCATCCAGCATGTCTACTTTCTCACCATTCCCTTCAAACAAGGCTAGGAAACTGGCTTGTGTCCCAGTGGTGCCTTTGACGCCCCTAAACCTGAGGTCATCTTTAGCCCTGGTCAGGTTACGAAGGTCCATGCAGAGATCAGAGATCCAGAGGCAAGCACGCTTTCCTACCGTTGTCAGCTGGGCTGGTCTGAGAGAAGGTTTATACATGTAGGTGTGAGTTAATGGTGATATAGTCTAGAAATCAATAATATTGCTAAAGCTATGTGTAAATGAAGAGTACACTAAGGAATGGAAACAGTCCTCCCCTTCAAACTTTGTGGAAAAAAGGTGACCATCATAGACCTCTGCATACATGTTTTCTTAGCAACACATCGAGCGATTCAGAGTAGAGCTTCTCAATTTCATACTTAAAATAGACCCGCTCCTTGATGTTTATATACACCTTCCTATTCCATGTCAGAAAGAAAAATAAAGAGGCATTATTGTTCATGTTTAGACATAATGGCCCGTATTCTGAAGTCGTGTCTAACTTAGCCACGTCTAAAGTTAAACAACTGTTTAGTTAGACACGACTTAAACATGAGGTCGTGTTAAGTCCTGTCTAACTTAATTTGTTATTCTGAAGTCGTGTCTAAGTCTTGTCTAACTAAAAATCTGTTTAAGTCCTGTCTAAGTGGTGTTTAACTAAACAACTGTTTAAGTTCTGCGCAAGTCGTGTTTAACTTTTAGTCACGACTTATGTGCATGCCCAGTAGGCGTTAATTCTGACGTAAGACCCAATGCGCATGTGTGCGCGCACTGGATAAATAAATTAACGCGCACAGCTAGCTGTACGCGTGCTGGTACCATGGTGATGTGATCATGACGTAATGTAGACTGCATGTACTGTGTGTACGTACGTAATACATGCACACGTACTGTACACTGAGATTGACAAACACACTACTTATCAGTGCCTCAGTGCTCGGAAGAACCAGAAAAGAAACTTCTCCAATAGAATGGTTGGTTTATTATAGATTATGTAATTTCCAAGATTTCACCAGTAGATAAGAATAGTTCATATTATCGAGAAAAAAAATTAGGCTCCACAAGAAAAAAATCCTGCAAAACGGATTTGAAATTTTAGAAGATGCACGTACCATCGTTCTCCCCAGCAAGTTTGGGGTCAGCAAGTAGAGTGTACCTTCGACGTTGAAAAGCAGCAGAATCGCGCCCTTAAACAGGACTTAAACAACGACTTCAGAATACGAAAAAAGTTAGACACGACTTTGTGTCTAAAGTTAGACGGGACTTAGACAGGACTTAGACAACTGTTTAGTTAAACAGGAGTTAGACACGACTTCTGAATACGGGCCACTGTATACATGATGTAGCACAATTTAACGCTATGAAGGCACTGACATGACAAAAAGGGGAAAATACAAAATAAAGTGATCTGATAAAAGATTTAAATCACAATGTCTATTGTCTTTTGTCATCATAACGTAAAGACATATTACTACTTCACAATTATTTAACTCATTTTTACAATGCTTCCATAAAGAAACAATATAAAGACATTGTTGGATTGTTTAAACTAGTTATGCCACTCAAACTAATTATTACAGAAAGAGTTATTGAGCGGAATTTGCAGCTTGTGGCTTGGCAATGGTTAGATACCTACTGGTAGTGTGTAAAACCAAGCGTGGGAAGAGCCTTGTGCTCCTCAGCGAAGACAGCCAGTCTCTGTATACAGCGTGCCAGTCGAGGAAGCAAGATCGACAATGCATCCTTCATCACGATCAGGTCCTGGCGACAGTAAGGAAGATTGAATCTTAGAAAAAGGCACAAATTAAAAGCTTCACATGAAACCTTTACATGTATTGCTGTTTGAGCATTTCAAAGGGCTTTCAGAGAATGATAGGAAGGATAATGCTACGGTCACAAAGGTTCGTACGAACGATAATTTCGTACGAATCTCCCTGTTTTTCCATTGTCTTCCTGAATTTCCATTGTCTGAAAATCGTTCGTACGGCGTTCGTAGCAGTTCGTAATGGCATTTGTGACCGAGGCATAATTTACTATTTAGAAGTTTGGATGAGTTCACATTCTTAACAAGTCTTAAAGTGACTCGGTAACATTGCCTCAGATTCTGAAACAAAATCCTGGATTTAGGTCATGCTGCAATCATAATTATAAACCTTTAGGTCAGTCAGGAATCCCAAGCCGACAAGCCGATTGTCTATCTGATCATCAAGATGTTTATGATTGAAAATCTAAATTTCATTTTTCGTTTTCCTAACAGTATTCATAACACTACAGTCGATTTGGGAAAATGAGTATGGTAAAACCGGTCACTCAAAGATTTTTACTTTTTTGAGGCACTACATGATCATTTTGGTGGGCAATTTTGTTAGGGCTTCAATATTATACCATCTCACAGACACTGATAACACGTACATGTAAGGCCATGCATCTCAGATTTCACATTGTTAAACGATGCCTTTAAGGTTAGCATAGTTTCCAAATCTCATGAACAGCATTCTTTTCCTCAGTCACAAAAGGGTCATGAGATGTTCAATCGTGCAAGTACAAAGGCAAATGGCAACCAACATGTAGATCTTGTCCCATTTAACCCTTTTACTACTGAATGCTCTCATTCACATTGGCATTATACAGGAATGACCCAGTTCCTGTAGGCAATGGGTTGATAAATACAAAATAATAATAATGATAAGTGCATGAGGACAGTTCTATTGAAATCATCTATTAGACTACGTTCTCTAATCCCTGCTTCTTTTCCTTAAACTTTAACACATATTTATTTCTTATCCAATTTCTTGTGTTTATTTTGTGACTTTACAGAACATTTGTGTATGTCTTCAACAAACAGTTCCTTGTTCATTCACACCTTACAGTGAGCAGTCCCTAGGCAACCCTCAATTCTTCCAAAAGTATGTCTGATATCAAAAGAAAATACATTATAATTCAAAAATACGCACTAGGTATTATCCTTTGTATGAAATCCATGCTGACACATGTTTGTATACAAGGTGGCACATAAGGACAAAGAATTTTTTTTTTTCAAGAGGGTGCTGTTTTTGCTGCTGCCAGCCTTTTAGATCACCCCCACCGGTCCGGTATATACATTTTGGATCTATTTTCTCCTCTTTTTTTTGTGCATTATGTTGATTTTTATCTATACAAATTTTAGTTCATCAGTTTTATCTCCTTTCCTTTTTTAATTCTGATGACATAAAACTGAACTTTTAAATGTTAAATTAATATTTGAGGCTTTATAATAATTGGTACTTCTTGATTTCCCTCTTGATTTGTATGTATTTTGTATATTCAGTTAATTGAATATTTTTCAACCCTTGGGCAGCATGTCTGATGTCTTTTATTTTTTTTGTAATCATAATAAATCGATTCAAGCAACCAAAACTTCCTTTCTGAGTTTAATTCTATGCAAAAAAGTCAAATCAACTCTAAATAATTCACTGAAACTTCGGTCTTGTGTCCTTTTCATTGATGTGACTGGAGATCAAGAACAAGAGTTGGGTTTAGTGTTGAGTTTCGGGTTGAAGTAAAGATTTATCCTAGTGTAGGAATTTTGCTGAGCATTTGAGGTAGAAGCAAGTGTTGTACAACGGCTACAGGGTTTGATATACTGTCAGGCACAAGGAAGGAGTTAGCTACAGTCAAACCTGTCTATAGCAACCACCCAAGGGAAACACAAAAGTGGCCTTTGTAGACAGGTGGTCTTTGTAGACAGGTTCCTTTAGTACATGATTCAATGAGAAACCATTTTCAAGGGAAACAACAAATGTGGCCTTTGTAGACAGGTGGTCTTTGTAGACAGGTGGTCACTAAAGCAGGTTCGACTGTACATGTATATGGTTACTGTTGGAAATGACCACAGAGATATCGTCCCCAGAGCATGTCTCTTCCAATCAATTGTACTACTGTACTCACTGTGTTATCACCGACGTAGCAAGATGTTGCACCAAGGTGGATGATAGGGGCAGCCTTGGGACAGCACTGAGCAAAGGTGTAAACATGAGCCATGACATCATGACGTCTCTTCTTCTCTTCTGCAGCAGCCATCTCAAAGTCAATGTTCTCAAGGTTGGCCTCCATCTCTTTGATCTGCTCATTGCTGACATCAAGACCAAGGGTCTGGTGAAAATAAAATATCAAATTACATCAGTTTATGAATGATAGCTTGGATAACTGGTGTGTACAGATCATCACCTGACAAAATCATTTGTGTGATGCTATAATGTACAAAATCAACCTTCAAAGTTAAAACCTTTACATGTACCTGCCTTTCTAAAGGCTAAGTGATTAAGAGTATCGGTAAGAATACAAAGTATTACATTGAAACCCATGAAACCCACAAAGGAACCTAAGTCTGACATGTACAGTTGTACAGTGTACATCAATTAGTGTACTCATTAATCACTTTATGTAAATTGAGAGGGTATTTAAACTTGCCGTTTCTCTTTATGAACATATTATTTGGAGCTCATATTATCGTGACATGGAACTCCATAACATACAAACAAAATATTGTGCTGTGTCTGTGTTTAGTACTCTTTAACTTCCAAAAAGACAGGTTGCAAACCAAGTCCATAAGGGTTTATGAGATGCAGTTGCATGAGAAGACTGCTCCAATAAATGTCCAAATTACTTTACAACATGTGCAAAGTTCAGCAAGTGTGATTTAATTCACATTTGTGGTAATGAGTGTGGTAAAAAAATGATTAGCAGTTAACCACACCCCCCCCCCCCCCTTTGCAAAAAAAGGGGTTCCTTCTATCTAGAGCTGGATATGGGGAAGGCTGACAAATGTCAGTTTTATTTAAGAATTCCCCAAAGGTGGAGGTGCTGTGGTCGAGTGGATACGTCTCCGGACTATGGATCACAAGGTCTGTGGTTCGCGTCCCGCCGCGGTACTAATATCCTTTGGCAAGACATTGATCTACATTTGCCACATTCAACCCAAGTGATGTAAATGGGTACCTGGCAGGAATTAATTCCTTGAAATGCTAGAGCACCTTAAAAGTTGTATTTTACTGACAAAAGTTGTATGCTTGAAAATAAACATGGATTGTTACGAGGATCAATGCCTCTCACAGTTTCTACCTACAAGTACTACAAGTAGACTAGAGTAAGACCGCCAAACTTCGGACACTTAAGACAAAACGGGGGAAAACATTAAAAAAAAATTAATTATTGAAAGATCAAATATACTATTATTGTGCAAATACTGTTTATGTATATCATGAAAAGAAGATTAGTAAAGGAAATGGAAAACTAGAATTATTTACTTACCCGCCGAACCTTTTTTTTTGCCAAGCTTCGGACGCACTTGCCAAGCTTCGGACGTTCATGAGTAGCGCACGTATAACGCACGTATACCGCATAGCGCACGTACAGCGCACGTATAGCGCGCGCGCTAAAGTGCGCATTCATCGGAGCTTTGGAAACCGGATCAAAAATGGTACGACGGGGGTAAGTTTGAAAAGTATTTTCTCGTTTTGGGTAGATTTATTTTAGGTAGAACTATCAGAAAGGTGTTTTTCACAACACTCACACAATATTTTGGTGCTAAAATCTTACGAAAGCGCTATTTTTTCGTAGTCAAAATGACACTCAATGTTGCCTGTCCGAAGTTTGGAAGAGCGCCATCTTCTGGTAGGGGTACCTGTATAGTACCCCTAGGTCCGTGGTAACGGCCGCCATTAGAAAATTTTCGCGATAGAGTGAAAAAGTACCTCATAAGCTCCCATAATTTTGGCAGAAACCACGTGAAATATGCCAAGGATTTGTTTGTAATCGATATATTGAAGGCTCTATACCTTAACTCCCCTGTTAAGGGACTGTAAAAATCCAGGGAACCTGAAATCTGTCTCTGAATTCGATGTTTTTTGTGAGTTTTGCAGACGGCAACCTGCCCTAACTTTCTGTACTAACGATGTAGGTTAGTAGTAGTATCAAATGCATGCAAGTTACCCGCCTGAGCTAGGCTCATATTTTGCGTTCGAGCTGTTGAAGTAATTTTTGTCCGAAGTTTGGTGGTTTTACTCTACAGGAAGAATTTTTTTTATACAGATCATTGGTTGAATATGCATGATTTCGTCATGACTGGTGTGTTCGATGAACCAATGAACATCCCCAAATTACCGATGTGAGATGCTTGTAGGATACTTTACAGGACAGAATGGACATTTTGCCATTGAAAATGGGGGACGCACACACAAAATATTTATTAAAAAAAAAAAGATTGATAATTAATGATAAGTGTCTGTAAAAACCCAATAATAATTTACTTTATACATGTAGATCTAGGTCTAGCAATTCTATTGTAGTTTATACTTCAACTAATAATACTCTGTAAAGAGGTCTGTACTCAAAAGGAAGAAGAAGAAGAAGAACTACTTCGTTAGTGCTTGATGGAGCCACGGGCACGGTACGGCCATGATAGACCGACGGGACACCACAGCAGCTGCGCCCGACGTGGCGGGGCAATTGAGGACGGGTGTCTGCTAGTTATAATTAATGACCATTGTTGTGAATGCATTACCTGTTGTCCTTTAGCAAGCCATAACCATAATTTTCTCCAGGTTGAAAACTTCTTCACTTCACTGAAGTTGTAGGCCATCTCAGGGCTTGCATATCGGGAAACCAAAGGAGACCTGTACTTGTACATATCAGCATTCTTCCCGTTTTCTGGAACAGGAGGATTCGACGTAGGTGCTGCCATGTTTTCAAATGGTTTCACGTGTAAATATTGAAGCGCGCGCGCGCGCGCTATATAAGTATAGCCTAAGTTCAGACTCCCTTACATTTACCGAATAAGAACAGGATAAATTTAGCGTGAAAATAACAGATAAATAAATACCTATGAAAAACTAAAAGTATCTAAATCAAAAATTTCATTTGGAAAAAAAATCTTTAATTGAGCTAACAAGATTATAAAAGTAGTTCGCGGTATACAGTATGTGCAACAAAACAAGAAATTAATAAAACGCATGGCAGCTAGGTGCGGGTACGTATAGTGCGATATGGTATGTAATCCCGTAGGATTTTTGTGCCAAAAATGATGGGGTCCAAATTTTCAAACCCCTCCTTCATTTCCTTGGGGGTCCTAGACCGGGAGCCAAGGGGGTCAACCTAGCTGGGATGGAAAACAATTTTCATGTGCACAGATGTAAAGATCACATTATTTTCCATATATCAAAATCGGAGAATTTCATTTGTTCATAACTTTCCAGGAATTTGCTTATGTACAACGACAATATCGTGTGCGAAGGAGAGGTTTATATATCATTTCAATAACAAGTTATAGCAATCCAAAGTTATTGATTTGATTTCCACAAAAACAACATTTTTGCCCACATGTGTATTAACTGTATGCATATACGTGCATTAGTGTATTAAGGACCTGTTTGGTGTGTTTACATCGAGTTTTAAGATAACTTGAACTAAAACCTCTAATCACCATGTATTTGGTGTCAAAAGATGGATAATCCCAAACTGCTTCCGGCGCGCCTGGTGGGGGTGTCTGTCAGACGTCCCTAAAATACCCCAACCTCAATACTGAGCTAGATCAGCTTGAAAGGAAACCCAAATGGAACCTATATGAAAATATTCGCCACAGGCCAAAGATACACAAATGGCCATATTTAAATGGTGGGGGGGGGGGGGGGGGGGGGACTTAAGGTGAATATGCATGTGACACCTGTTCTACACATTTTTACATAATAGCAGTGAAGGGATGTTCCTTTGTCTATATACCTGGGGAACTGATTGATTGATTTTTATTCGACAAGCTTCCAATATACAACAATATACAATAATAACAGATCAAAAATAAGTCAGCTTGAACAGGATAACCCACGAAAGCTCGAGAGCTTATTTCCAGTGGGGTCCCTGTATACTTCGTCCGCTTTCTTTCAGGTCAGTCATATTCATAGTGAGATTAATGAAATAAAGCGTATTGAGGCACATCACAAAGGTGTATGCATTATATTTGGTTACACTATGAAAATGGTATTTTATGATAATGCTTTTTGGGGGATAGCACTTGAACAAGATGACCCCCAAATATTCACAGATCTTTGATACATGGAGACTTACGTCCCACTTTGTGCATGTTAGAATAATTATTGCCAAAGTAATAGAGGTTGATATAAGTTTATTATGTTTTGTTTTATTTGCCAAGCTAAACATATAAAAATACAGTAGAACAAAAGACAAAGGAAAAGGCATATAAAGAGATATTTGGCAGGATAGCCCATGAAAGATCCAAAGCGGTCACGAACATTGTATTTACATTTAGGTGCTGCTAGCCTTCTAGAACACCTTTTTTTTTTTTTGCCCTCTTGAAAAAATTCTTCCACCTGTTTATCATAAAATGTACCGCCAGTGCATACATTATTAAAGATTACATAATTTTCATGAACACGTATCCACCATCGTCGCGATGGGTTTTATTGTTTTCTCCAAATTACTTTTATCTTTATTTTATTTTACTAGTACTCTACGTCTAATCCATATTATAATGATTATGCAATACAATATATATATAGACTTACTGAATTGTTAAATAGAAATATTGTAGATTCTGTATATAATATGAAAATCAATGGTAAAAATACAAACTTACAGTATTTATTTTATTTACAGCAATGTCCTTGTAGATTTTGTCTGGTACGGGAACGTCTATACTCAACAAATCACTCGACATAGCTAGGGGATATTTAATCTTTTCTTAACCTAAAAAGCTGACATATCCGATGTAATTATAAAGCATTAAGTAAAACAGATTGATAAAGACAATAATAGTGGTAATAATGATAATAATAATATCAATATTATCAATAATGATAAATACGTAACAAAACAATATTAAACGAATAATATTGGGGTTTTTCTGTAACGTATTTCAGGACAGAAAGCTCTTTTAATACACTTTACAATTTAGAATTTACAATAATTGAAAACAATTATCAGGAATTTTTAGAAAATACAAACAAAACAGTATTTTGGGCATTAAAGGGGAATCGGAATGTCCATCGGCCATTCTCTAAGTCTAATCATCCAAAGTCTACAATGTATATATATTTACTGAACTGCTCAGTGGAAATATTATAGATTCTGTGTATGATATAAACATTGATGGTCAAAAGACAAAATCATTGTATTTATTTTATTTACAGCAATGTGCACGTTGATATCGGTTTGTACGGGAACTCCTATACTCAACAAATCACTAGACATAACAAGGGAATATTCAATCTATTATTACTCTAAAAAGCTGACATGGCCAATATAACTATAAAGCATTGAGTATTTTTTTTTTTTTAATAATTGAGAAAAACAATAACAACAATAATGATAATGATAATAGTAATTATATTAATATTATCAATAATGATAATGATAAAAACATGACAAATACATTTTCAAACAATAATATTAAGGTTCTCCTATGGCATATTTCAGGACAGACAGCTTTTGCAATACAAATTACAATTTAGAATTTACAATAACTGAAAACAATTATCAAAAACATAGCAACAAAACAGTATTTGGGGCGTTAAAGTGGAGTCGGAATGTGCATCAGCGGAAACTAGCTCATGCATATTGAAAAAGAAAATGAGCATGGCTTTTGCCCATATGACAAACTTTCTGGAAAAAAAAGATAGGCCTATGTGAAACAGATATTAATGAAATATACCATTTACATCCCTTTGTGTATTCAGCAAAGTTTTGAATTTGCCTCAAAATGAATGTCTACCCCAAAACAAAATCCCTAATTCAGAATAATAACAAAAATGTAATAGGCACAGAAGTCATATTTGATATTTCTTCTCATCTAAACAATATTCATTTTGCAGCACCAAGTAGCCTACTTCAATTGTGGCCGCAAACCTTGTCTACATGTTATTCATAATGCGAATGTGTCCGTGACTCAAACTGTTATAACTTCGTTCTTTTTTGCTTATCGAAATTAGAAATAAGTATTTTGTATTTATTTCAGGAACCTAAAAACTGTGCTACTTAAAATGTTTCTCATAATTTAACATCATCGATTCTCTATGTTGAATGTCTAACATTGTTGTATGTATCCACTATTAAATCTTATGCATGAGACATTAATGTTATGTATAATGTACAACAATAAAGCAAACTAAACAAAGAAACAAACGCACTACCCCTCAACAACCCTTTCGCGTTATTGCATATGATTATGTTTATAACAATGTGTCAATTAATCTTTCAAACAAATACCCCCACACTCACATCATGCATGATTGTGTATTAACCTATAATGCTTATTTATACATAATAATTCAAACAAGTCAGATAGTCCCTACCATCAAGAGCAAATTAAAAAAATGACAAAGCGTTTTTTATAAATTTTCAGAGGGTTTCATTTATATACAGCACGATCGCTAGGACTTTAAACAAATCAACTTCAGGCAATTTCAATACACATGGGCGTTACACATTGAAATAAACCATATTACGTAATATTACGTAATCCGAACATAATTTCAATAGGCAATGCATTAGGGTACAGAAATTACCTTAATTAAATCAAAGTCCCAGTGCCCATGCCAGTGGCGTAATGAGCAAAAACGTTTGGGGGAGCTGACAAAAAAAAATCCGAATCACCCCACTCTAACATGCAGGGGGCCTGAATTATGTTTCTCAAAGTGGGGTCTAGGGGGCAAAGCCCCGATGGGGTTGAAGGGGCGAAGCCCCCGAAGCTCAAGGGGTATAGGCATCAGTGGCGGATCCAGGAATTTCTTACCGGGGGGGGGGGCACAAAATGGCATGGGGTTAAATATATGTAAAACGATGAAGCAACAGAACGAGGCTTTAACGGCGAGGGAGCGGAGCGACCAAGCAGGGGGTAGGTCTGGGAGGGGGTTCTGGCCCCCTCCCAGAATAAGAAGCATTTGCATTTTAGAACCAAATTAGATGCATTTCAGGTACTTTCTGGAGTAATATGACGTAAAATTGCTTTCTCCTACCCCTTTCAAGAGTAGGGATCTTTTGCAATTTGAGAATCACATTTGGCGCATTAATGTCCACCGGCACTTCATGGAAAAAAAGAGGCCCTCTGATTAGTTATAAGTTAGAGAAAGTGATCTGTCACGTCGTGAGACGTTGTATAATTATGCTTTGATGCCGCACAATGCACAAAGACGGTAGTCCGGTACTTCACCAGTAGTACTTGCAAAAATTATCTCGAGTGTATAAACTGTGTCGTTATCAGGGGCGTCGCTAGATCTTTTTCAGTGGGGGAGGGGGTGGATCGTATAGAGGCCGCCGATTACCGACATAACGAGCCACCATTATTATGACCAAAAAATATAAAAATGCCAATGTCCAAATGTCTACATATTTAACCCTTTAAACCCGGGGCCAGGAACTAAGTTATTTTTCAGTTTTCCCCTTCTCGCGCGAAGCACGGAAGCTTTGACACTTCATTAAATTATTAGGGAAAGAAGACGATCCGTTGTACTGTTCTCGACTCTTAAAGCTTGTTTCGCCTTTTCCGCGCAAAGCGCGGAAGCTATGACGTTTAATTTAATTATTAGAGAAAGAAGACGATTTATTGTACCGGTCCCGACTCTTCATCCTTGTCTGAAATCAGTTCCTCCCCCCTCCCGCGCGAAGCGCTAAAGCTTTCACGTTTCATTAAATTATTAGAGAAAGAATACGATTCGTTGTATCGTGGTCTTGTCTGATTTCAGTTTCCACCCCCCCCCCCCTCCCGTGCGAAGCGCGGAAGCCTTGACACTTCATTAAACTATTAGAGAAAGAAGACGATCCGTTGTACCGTTCTCGATTCTTAATTGTTGTTTCGCCCCGTTTCATTTAATTATTAGAGAAAGAAGACGATGTATTGTACCGGTCTCGACTCTTAACCCTTGTCTGAATTCACTTTCGCCCATCCCGCGCGAAACGCGGAAGTTTTCAAGTTTCATTAAATTATTAGAGAAAGAAGACGAATCATTCATTTCCATTGTACCGTTGAACCGTTCTCGACTCGCTTTGACGTTTCAATAAATTAATACTATTAATCCTTGTCTGAATTCATTTTTGCCCATCCCTCGCGAAACGCGGAAGCTTTCAAGTTTCATTAAATTATTAGAAAAGAAGACGAATCGTTTTATTGTGTCTTTGTCTGAATTCAGTTCCCTCCTCCCACGCGAAGCGCGTAAGCTTTCACGTTTCATTAAATTCATAGAGAAAGAAGACGATTCATTCATTTTCATTGTACCGTTGAACCGTTCTCGACTCTTAATCCTTGTCTGAATTCCGTTCCCCCCCCCCCCTTTCGCGCAAAGCACGGAAGCTTTGACGTTTCAATAAATTAATACTATTAATCCTTGTCTGAATTCATTTTCGCCCATCCCGCGCGAAACGCGAAAGCTTTCAAGTTTCATTAAATTTATAGAGAAAGAAGACGATTCATTCATTTTCATTGTACCGTTGAACCGTTCTCGACTCTTAATCCTTGTCTGAATTCCGTCACCCCCCCCCCCTTCGCACAAAGCGCGGAAGCTTTGACGTTTCAATAAATTAATACTATTAATCCTTGTCTGAATTCATTTTCTCCCATCCCGCGCGAAACGCGGAAGCTTTCAAGCTTTATTAAATTATCAGAGAAAGAAGACGAATCGTTTTATTGTGTCTTTGTCTGAATCCAGTTCCCCCCTCCCACGCGAAGCGCGGAAGCTTTGTCGTTTCATTTAATTATTACTCTTAATCCTTGTCTGAAATTAGTTTCATTAATTAGTAGAGAAATATTAAGACGATTCGTTGTACCGTTCTCGACTCTTAATCCTAGTCTGAAATTAGTTCCCCCCCCCCCCCCCCTCCCGCGCGAAGCGCGGAAGCTTTGCCGTTTCATTGAATTATTAGAGAAAGAAGACGATTCGTTGTACCGTTCTCTACTCTTGTCTGAATTGAATTTCCCCACTGGGCCCCTTAACGGTATATATACAGTAGGAATTAGTGTTACTGTTAGTGGCCACTGTATATAAGGCCCTTAGTGACTATAAAAAAAAAACATATGCTCTTCCTGGCTATTTGGGAATGGGTCAGTTTGCAAGAAATGATGGAGAAACTATAGCATTTTGTTGAAAATCATGTGATATCACGAACATTTATACATTACTTGTGAAAATAAGCCATGGTTCAATTTTATTTGGGGGGGGGGGGGGGCTGGCGCCCCCAAGCCCCCCCCCCCCCCCACCAGTACGCCAGTGGCCCATGTCTACTATCATTTTCTGGTTATTAGTTACAAGAGATACATCGTTTGCACATTAATCATCGCAACCTGATGGTTTCATATCTAATTTGAGTTGTCAAAAGATGGATTGGTATGGGATATGGCAGACGAAGATTCAAACATAGGTTGAGAGCCTCCAGTCCCACTCGTAGATCCTGGTGTTCGTCCAGAATTTCCTTGGGACTCAGCGCTGCCACCTTCCCGCAACAGTGCACAGCAGATACAACGGCGCCACTGCTTCCTGATGGTCTCCTTTCGAAGACAATAGAGGACGAAGATGAAGAAGCCTTGCAAGGAGTTGAAGATGATGAAAAGGAGTTCAGTGAAGTCCACGTTGATCAGTGCCAGGTATCCAGTAGTCCAGGTGAAGCCAAGCAGGAGCAATATGGCGATGCCATTCTGGATCCGTTCTAGGGTCTCTTGTCGTTCGGTCTTGCAGTCCTTCTTCACACGTCCTGCCATTCGTGCAGAACTTTGCAGACGGCACATTGCCAAGATGAACACAGCGATATTGATGATGAGGATGATAGCCATTGGGACCAGGAGACCACCAATGAGGGGCCACTTCCGGATGTAACAACTGTGGATGGAGATAAAGAGAAAATAGAACATTGCTCGGGGAAGACTTGCATGCATTAATCATCTTTGTTGGTGCAAGATTCCTCATGTACAAGTATGGATCAACTTACTAATCTTCTTCAGCATAATAGTTCCTAGTGATTGCCCCAGTTGCGGCAACGATTACAGCCGGGATACCTGAGTTTGAAAAGAAAAAGATAAAATATTAGGAAAATGTCCCCGTCAGTATACTCTTTTACTCGATCTTTACACTTTCGAGTAAATAATAGATACATATATGAGTAATAAAAAAACTAACAAAATAAAATTAAACTAGAACAATTAGAGAAATATAAAATGAATTACTGTTAAGCAAATAAATAATTAAACAAAATGTACACAGGTTGAAAGTTGTCCAAAACACTTTTCGCTTCACACAATGTGGTCCTGATCATTCAGGAGGTGGGAGGGGGAGGGGGTGCGGGTAGGGTTTAGAGTGTAGTTTAGAGTCATCTCCGTCACCTCGGCTAATTATCCACAACTCAACACTCGATTAGTTGACCGTCACCCAACGATCAGGTAAAGTCATATCATATGATATTTATGGAGGGAGCGAAGGTTCAGTCCATTGCGCAACATTAACGCGCGACAGTCTAGAACAAAGGCAGCATTAATTTTGTATTAGCCTCCTTAGTTAAATGGGGGAGCACCTCTCAGAGTAATACCAGAAGCCGAAGCAATTCTAAGTTAGGATGACGTGGCTTTCCTCCTTTAACAAGAAAAATAGCACAACAGTAAAATAAAGGAATCAAGTGTAAAAACAACCGCTGTCTGTTCTTGAAAAGTCTTCGGTGACCCTCAGTGTCAACTAGGCACTATAGTGCCTAGAACTATAGTGCCTAGTGACTAGTTGACTATAGTGCCTAGTGCCTAGTTGACTATAGTGCCTAGCTAGTGCCTAGAACTATAGTTGGGTGTCAACTAGGCACTATTATAATAGATGTCACGTCTCTTGTAATTGTTTTGTTTCATAGTACGCACTAGAGCTGTATTATTTTGTTGTATTATATAGAAAAATCAATAGTTCTTACCCCATCCTACAATCGAAGCTTTGATCATAAACTTCGGGATGTAAGTATTAAACACTTTTACGATGACCAGATAAGTGTTAAACCCCTCGATGCCCATCCACATAAGCGAAGAGAGTACAAAGTAGTGGACGAGTGCCGCCAGGACGGAACACGGTATCAACTCGACCTCGGCTTGCTGGAACTCAGTGTCGAGAGCGATGATGACGAGGGAGACGGTGTACAAACAGAGCAGGGTGGTGCAAAGAAAGATGAAAATCTTGTGAGTCTGAGATCTTCGTATCTTCCTGTTGATGAAAGATATTATCGTAAGTACGTTTTGTTTGGCTGGTTGTTATTTTAACTTCCGAGAAATAAACGAAAATTATTTGATTTGATTGTACTACAAAGGGCAGTTCCTTGCATTGTAAACTGTATGACACGACAAATTCCACTTACCAAATTGCCAATCTGAGATTCACATATATTTTGTGATATTCATTACTCCCTTTTGATAGGTCCCGTTTATTCAAACTGTCACCATTCTGTTTCTCTTATTTGTCTGCTTTCGTACAAATCGGAACTGTTTGATTTTCCTTTAATTGCCTTAAACATCATCTATTTAAATATGTGAACATTCAAATGACGTATTACGTGGTCAGAATAATAATTATTCCTGAGGCATATAAGCCGACATATAAACCTTAAAATGGATACCGAAAATACCATTGAAAATGACGAATATCTTTCTGATCGTTTTACTGATATACATGACACACATCTATTGAAATACGTGAACATTCAAAAGACGTATTACGTGGTCAGAATAATCATTATTCCTGAGGCATATAAGCCGGCATATAAACCTTAAAATGGATACCGAAAATACTATTAAAATGACGAATATCTTTCTGATCGTTGTACTAATATACATCACTCATTCCATTCACTATCAACTCTTCCATTTTCAATCGCTTTTGTACATTATCATGATTATATACAGTTGTTTCTGTATAAATTCGTTGATTTATACTGATTATATGTTATCATATAATTGTCTTGGGGGATGGGGGAGGGTTGGTAGAAAACAACAACGACAAACAATTTGACTTACTTGACACTGAGATAGGACGCGATAGCGATGGCCAGACACAGAATTGATATAGCACACCCAGTGATACTCAATAAACGGAGTACAGGTTTCGGTGGTTCGTCCTCTGCATATATGTCCTTCAGCGTAAAACGTGCGCAGGAGCAATGAAATAAGATTTAATACAGTAAAGAATTAATAAATATGTATGCATTATGAATTTCACTCATTGATAACAGGTGAAATCTGCTATTTTTTTAAGCGCGTCACGCTAGTCAATTATATCAATCCTATTGTAAAAATACTTATGTGAATATCTCCATATCCCCATTCCAGGACCTCATAGAAAGCAAGTTAACCGTGCATTGCTTTGCATTTCGTAATATGTCAAAGTCATGTCTCTGCTATTGTCCAAAGATATGTAGTGCAGTTAATAGCTTATTAGCATATTCATGTGCTCCCTCCCTTTTGTCTAGCACAGTCTTTGAGGCTTCCTGCAAGTTTCGAATTCTAATCTCTTTTAATATTAGAGTGATGCAGATAGTTTTCTTGCAAATTTTTGTTAAGCAGGTGAAGGCAATATTTTAGTAGCTTGTGTAAAGAATAAAATTTCTTATAAGGGATAAACGATCTAGTTGGAATTAATATTCTTCACTGAAAGTTTGGGATCTGGAGAGGCAAGACCTCTGAGAGCTAATGTCTTAGAGAAGCAGCCTGCTACGGGTTTGATGGCTTCAGCTAGGCCGACAAAATGGGGCGACGGCAGCATGTTTGGTCTACACCTTTTGAAACTGGGCATGGCAGTTTCTTGTATTTCTAGCTTGCACCAGAATTGTCTGTACTGGACACGGCTGCTTCTGTCTTCCAAGCTTTTTTGTCACCAGTCAAACTGTAAGTGAAATCTAGTTTTTTTCTCTTGTGCTTTAATTTATTTAGCAAGTTGTCAGAGACAGTAATTAATGGAGAAATAAGATAAGCCTGGATAACAATTATTTAATGGCTCTTTTGACCTGAAGTCTTTACTTGTAAATCATGTCATGATTATAGTTATGCATATGTAATAGTATCCTTGACAGAGAAAAGGAATGTTTCTTTTTTTCCAAAAAGGATGCTGTTCAGTATTATCTAGTTGTTGCATGTTACATGATACAAGAAGTATAAAGATAGTTTATAAAAACTAGAATATGAAGTTAACATTTAAATGTTGATAATTCTTGGAATAATTAGGGTAATTAAAATAGCATAAAAGATGAAGATTGTATTTTGTTAAGGATAGGCAGTTTTATGCGATATTTTAAACATGCGGAAGGAATCACATACCACTAAAACGGCAAAGTTGGTTAGGTGGTCGCAGGCGCATGTGTAGTATTCATCATTGGAGCTATTGGCGGTGTTATCAGGTAACAGTTGACATCCCTCCATAGACCATTTACCGAGATTAAACTCCCAGAAGTTACAAGTAGGATCGCGGGAGTCAGGCTGAAATCAGTAAATTATTGAACAAAAAATATATGTAAGATGTTAGAGACATGCGGCCCACAACCACTGGCAAAAGAATGTAGCACATGCCTGTTTACGAAATGTATAGTACAAGTATAATCAATATATAGGCCTGTCTTATGTTGCATCTAGGTTTTATCATAATATCGGCTAGTGTTGGGCCCCCCACTCCGGGGTCGGAATGACCGCATGCGTGTTACCAAAATGTCCGGTAAAGGGGTACTTTTCGTGCGACAAAGTCCGGCCCGAGAATTGTAAAAAAAAGGGTGTATTTGACTTTTCACCCGGAGACTTCTTTAAAAAGGGGGTGTTTTTCTTTTTTTCTCTCATCTCTTTGGACTCCTGAGAAATTATTCCGAAATTTAGGGGGGTACATTGAGCATTTTTCCGTATTTAGGGGGGTCTCCAAGGCAGGAAAAGCCCGTGAAAAGCCCGCGAAAGGGGGTTCGGAAATGTTGGCAGTCCTCAGATAGGGGGTGCTTTCAAAAAGAGGGAACGAGCATACGCGTACCCTAAATAACACTGAGTGGGGGGGGGGGGGGCGGCGGGCGGGGGGGGGGGGGGACAGTGCAAATTGGAGGATATCAATGGCGTTACAATTTTATAGCAAAGTTGTTGAAATTCTATCATAGAAACCGTTGTAAACTGATTGACTCTTGATTCATTAAAACACCAGTCAGCATTGAAACTACTACCGCCTGTTTGCTCCGGGTGTGTTTCGTGAGAATTGTACGCATAATTATAGTGGTATGGTTAGGTCTCCAAGTGATTATTAGGTTGTGTTTAGTGTTAGGGATAGAGTTATAGGTAGGTCTTTGGTCCAAGACCGAAGTTACACATTTTGATTTGATTTGATTTATATCTGCATTTTTTCCAAATATAATATAACTGAATAACAAAGAACATATAAATGTAAGGTATAATACAACATAAACAAACAGTAATTTCTTCATGTCAAAATGTTTTTGTACATAATATATGTACATATATTAACGGACTTAATATTTCCATAAGATATTACCATAAATTTAAAGTATTATCCGAACTGCTATATTTACATCTGTATTCAGAGCATTTATCACCGGAGCATTTGTCATACAGCTCTCCAGTGCACCTCATACCATGCTTACCTTGAATCTATAGAAAGTGATATTGACACGCTCCATGAGATTCTCTATCTTCTGTCCGCCGATTGTTAAGGAAACCACTGGTGTATCAATCTCCCGGTTGAGTAGAGCAAGACTTGGTGAAGGAAACATGGCATCATTGGCATACACAACGAAAGCAACCCTGAGAGACCCGATACCGCTTTCACCCGTCGTTTCCCCAGGACCACTGGACACTCCTGAAGCGGTAGTTGTGCCGAGGTTATCTCCGCTGGTAGTGTTGTTAGAACTTGATGGGCCTTCCGTGACCTCTAGAGTAGTAAAAACTTGGGCTACCTCGATGGGTACAACAACCCTGGCAAAGGTGTCTCTTGGGACAGAATTAGTAGGTGTGTCTTGATGTGTTCCTACCACGATGTCACTGTTGCTCAAAGAACCGTTGTCCATACTTAACATGGTGATCACTATGCCGTCTCCAGCAGTGTCCAAAGGTACGTCAAGCACCTATAGGTTAGTGTATGTAGTTACGATTATGCAAGTATCAACATATTCGATATTGTTGCTTTAAACATCGAGTACACATTTAGAACAATACACCATATTTTCAAAAAATCATAATATTCACAAACATTCACGCTTTTTGAAATAAGATACGTTTTGGAGGTGTTTCTTGCCTTTTTAAAGAAACAAATACATTTTTTCGAATCCACGAGCGCGTCTTCCGCAACCCAGTCAACATGTCAAACATTTAAAGACCCAAACTGAGCACGTCTGATTAGAGAAGGAAGATAATTGCACAACTTGTGTATCATTGTGTACTTGAATGCATGCATCTACAAACTTTCACAATTCGATATACGTGGGCAGAAATATAATGGACACATTTGTGAGAGTTATGCCTAGGTCACGTTTGCCACCGCGGCCGTGCGGTCTTGAACCTCTACGGCCAATATCAATTATAGGACCGCCGCAGCATTCCCACGGTCACATACGTTAGCGGTCACATAATTATGTTAGAGTAGACGCGCGGCGTATTTTGAATTTGTGGAGACAGAAAATCTACGACTGCCGTACGGCTTTTGAATTGATGACGCACGGTCGCCTTAGGTCGTCCCTGCGGTGGCCGTAGATTTTTGAAGAAAATAGTATTAAAGACAGACGCAATGTAGCCCCAAGGTGCCCGCAAAGCGGCCGAAAGGGGACCATACGGCCACCGTGCGGCCAGACTGATGCTACCGCTTCTCCCCCGGAGTATATATAACGCAAGGCTACCGTATAGTCTTGCGTTTTCCTATAATTGCTATTGGCTGTAGATATTTTAGACCGCACGGCCGCCGCGGCAAATGTGACCTAGGAATTAAGCTCTCGTTTACCTGCTCTGTTATATTATGTATCAACACAATTCATAGAAGTCAATATGGGCAGAAAGAATGTAAAGAATTGTGAGAGTTAAGGCCTAGTTTACCTGAACTGCTATTTTGGGGTAAGCTGCGTCAAGCACGCTGTTACCAACGTCGACGGTATTCAACTGAGATTCCAAGACCTGGGCGATGAGGGTAGTATAATTTCCATTCTCTTGGGCAGAGGCTAGCACATCCTCTTCGACAAACATCACGTTATTTACTATTCCCACTATGAGACCGGTTACCTATGAAAGACGAGGTAAATATCATTACACAACAAAAGAGATGAGACTTTCTGCATTCATTACAAACGAGACACGTCAAAACATTACAAACCGTAATTGGAGACACGAATGTGTAGGGTTCTGAGAATACGTTGAGCTTCTTATCTCAGACCCTTTACTATATTAAGTTAGGTTTGATAGATGGTTATGATGATTTGATAATTCCTGACCAATCAATGGGCACTAGATTATCGTCTTGGTTTCGAACCCCAGATCTCCAGATTAAGAACCACAGCTTTACCACTGAGCCATTGCGACTCTATCTTCTAATACTATCATAAAGTATACAATCAGATTTATCATTCATCTTACAGTGCATAATTGCCAATAATAATATTGAGGTCTTTCTCTTCCACATTTAGCAATACAGATGTGTTTGAACATGCTCATTTTTGTTTCTTTCTATACACGTAAAATGATTAGGTTCGATAAGATAAGGTACGTGTATTGTATTGTATTGTATTTATTAAACATCATTGATGTACATCAATATTCTGTTTATAGACATAGTTATAATCACTTTACAATGTAATGCAACAATCGATATATAAAACATAATATAAAACATTTACAACACCTTTCTAAATAAACAATAAGTCATGCAATACGAAATATGTAAATGAGAACTAAAACAAAAGCATAAGATTGTACACGACTACTTTGTTATAACATATAGTATCTAAAAATTACCCCTCATTGCAATTATGTTTTTGGTGAACAAAGAAAAACTATCTATTACAACTTCATTATCTAATCTCATTATAAATATGAATTTTTCTTGACTATCCAAATTACAAAAATTTTCTTCCAGATTACTAATTGTTTCTATAAAATCTACTCGTAAATCTTTATACTTGTCACATTTCATAATTATATGGAATTCATCTCCTACAAGATTCATATTACAGTCTTCACAGAATCGTAGATTCGGGGGAGTTTTTTCTGGTCTTTTATACCTTCCTGTTTCTATGGGTAAGTTGTGCGCGCTGAGACGTAGTTTGGTGATATTTTTTCTTAAATTTATATTTGGTATATGAGATAAATACTTTTCTTGCTTGATTGAGTTTTTAAATTGTCTGAGGGTTCTGAGTTTATTTCCTTTACGGGTATCCCTATCATCAAATAAGTCTAGTTTTAATTGTTCATCAAATCTCCTTTCCAAACAAAGTTTACATAACTCGACAAAATCTTTATGAGAAATTTGTATATTTTCAGGGTCCAATACGGTCTCATTTCCATTATTACAAATATTTAGTGAACTAAAGATATCCCGAATTGACATTAACCAACAGCTTTGTTCGTTATTTACTAATTTTTTGTTTTCTTCAAAAGATTTATAGACAAGGCCATTTATAAATCTTTTGAAGGGAAGGTAAATCATTAACTCATTAACTCACAATTGTATCAGAGTTCTGGTCAGCTAAGAGCTGCAGGATCTCATACAGTAAGCCAATGTCAATAGCGGTAATGTCCTCATAGTTCTGGGTTATTCTGAAAACTTCTTTAGCAACATTAGCATCATATATCCCATTCTTCAAGTATAAAGAGACACACATATCAAGGGTTAGTAATATCAACTGCAAAACACATTTTGATAACTCTTTGATTGCATAAAAAACATTAGGTGAGCGTAGGCTTCTTATTTTTCAGTCCTCGAAATTAATGTGCAGTGGCAAGAAGATTTTAAGAGGGAAGGAAGGGGCGAGGTCTGGACTATATTTTGTTATTCATGCTGAATCTTGTCATTCTAGACTGCTGGATGTGTAGGGCTGACGAATGAGCATGGATGCTTTAATTTTTATTCTTATGTTATACTAATGCACGTTTGAAATAGAATTGACGGATATAATACGTAATTTACCTCATGGGGGGGGGGCATGGTTGGTGACGTAATCAAAGTTCCCTACTACCCTGTGAAAAGTATTTACGTTAGAATGCATACATTAAAGTTTAAACGATAAAGAGGAAGTTGGACATAGTATTTCCCCCTGCCTATAAATTAAAATCAAACCATGCCATATTATGATACACAAGTGTTTCATTTGAAGAAAAAAACAGTGGATAAGACACAAAGGTACAGGAGGGCTGAGTGTTAGAGGAGATTTGAATCTTACTCCCAACCTACGATTTAGTGTTTGTTATGGGTAAGATTTTAAAAACCAAGATAGGCTGTTAGGCATGTTCTTACGAACAAATCTTTTTGACGGGAAACGAAATAGATGAATAAAACCCTGCAAAATGGTAGTTAACGTTCACCCCGGTCGAGAGTAGTTGAGAAGGTTCACCATCCGACCATGAACATTTTGAGATTAGAAATCCCAAATTTCTGACATTTAAAAAGGGGGAAACTATTTATTATTAAAGCAGAGGTTGGGTATATGAACAACTGAGTAATTGACGAGATGCGACTAAGATGTAGAGAGCTAATAAGGGACAAAACATGAACTACAGATTAATTGAATTTCACCCAAGAAGCTTTAATTGTACTGAATATTTTATAACGAAATTAATAGTTTTGTATACCAATCGTACTGTTCATTTTACATTCATGACATTGACATCATAATAGCGGATGAAAGACGATTAATTACATCATCACTTTTGTATCATGATTATTATTCTGCCCCCTTAAATTATATTTAAAGCCTCGTTTAAATATGAGGTGGTAACCAGCGGCGGTTTTTTTTTAATGACGTAAAGTTAAATAGGCGTATAGGCTTATTTTGTTCAATCGGATCTTCGCGTCGAGTCGGTTTGTCGGGCTAAACGATATTTTGTGAAAACATGCCCATTTATTCACGAAAGTTCGGGTAAACTGAATGCAAATAATTACAACGTTTTCAAAGATTGTTCTAGAGATAAGGCTTAAGTCAAAAGTGTCGGTTAAGCTAGACAAGGATGGTATTTTTTCTTCTACACAAACATTAAACCAGATCATTCTGCAAGTTTGTGTAACCAGAAGACGCGAAGAACTGAGCATGCCATAAAACCTCTGTTGCGCGTATAGTTGCCATTCATTCACAAGTTAATCTCTTCATATCTGAAAGAGTATCTAAAGTAAACATGGAGAAACTTGCCATCAATATTCTATTTAATTGTCGAGTGATATCATCTTGACATCTTATACTGGTGTTCCAATAAGTTGTGCCGTTACTAGAAACTTGGCAAACAGCTCTAATAATTGATGCCGCAGGGCCTAAAAAAAGAAAACAGTATATATATTTTGTTTAAAGAAGGGAAAAAGAAAGTAACAAAAATCATTTGAAAAGTTTTGCTATCTCTGCTACTGATCATGCTGATACAGCATGAAATTCGTGTTTTCCTTGTGAAAAAATGTTAACATAATAAATATTTAAACGAAATCAGACGGCAAGCAAATGGTGCGTTGTGAATGGACTGTGTCGGCAAATGACCACTGAACAAGTACTTTTTAATAGTGCCACCATTTGCAAAAAAAAATTATTTTATGAAATCCCCCGCCTTTCAACATTAAAATTGACCAATAATCAATTTTTAGAAATAAACTGTTTCTCCGGGTCGGCACTATCGATTGATTCTTGAACCCCTATTTGAATCCATTTCCGTGCAGTACATTGCGTCGTTCATACATAAAAGCGATTTAATCGAAAAAGATCAATGACGTTTCCAGGTAATGCGAATACAAATTAATAATTACTATTGTACAAGTTGCGTTTTCAATTTCTTTCTGATTTCTTTTTCTTTTAAAGTAATTTGTTTTATACACACTGGGTTATTATACGTTCATTTGAATGGTGGATGCCAATTTGAGGAGAGAAAGCAGATTCATTACCTCAGAACTGATATTGGTTTAATAGTTGTATTTCCCTGTTACCCAAAACAGCCTAAAATCGATTACAGATTCTAGTCAATATCAATGCTTCATTATTTATCTCACAGGACTTAACTGCTTATATACATAAGATCAATCAAAGGAAATGAAACAAATGGTATTGGGAGTAGGAATTTGGGATACATGTTTATATTAGACGGCGTGTGTGTCATGATCTTGTAATGAAATTCACAGGAAAAATATTTAATTTACTTGTACAACTCGTACTTCACTACAAGGGGGATATTGGATAGGAAGTCAGTGTACTAGAATACAAGTTTAAGTGTTATTTCGATTGCAAAAGTCTGTTAAACAACCCCATATTAATTACGGAATATAGGTGTGGACTGGGGAAGCATCTATAAGGCTAGCTATCAGAAGCATATTGTATTACTGAAAATGGCAGTTTGTGCTATAACATTTAGTGAGAGAAGAACTCAAGTATATATTCAAAAGATTGCGAATCTTAAATGTGTATAATTTACATGATCTAACAATACTTTTATCAGGAAGTTGTAATGAATGGAGATCCCGTCCAAGAGGCCCCTTTGATGACTTCCGTGGCACCGCGCCTTTTGTTTCCCCTACCGTAATCCCCTTAATTCCCTCCGAAACCGTACAGCTCCCTAATAGCACTAAGTCCTCCCTTTCCACCCACAGCCCAGCCCAGCGAGCACGGCGGCTTTTGCGTTGCCGGCTCGTACTTGGGGTGGGGTGGAAAGTGGTGATGAATTGACAACTTCTAACCCTCATCCAATAAATCCGCAAACATATAACACAATTTCGTTTAGTTCTACCTCTCTAGCTGTGTACAAATTTCGGAAAATTTCGGAAAATCATGATGATGAAAACCTTACATTCGCTCTAACTCACGATTTCCTTGGTCGATTTCGCTGGTCGAAATGGGTACGTGTATATCTTCAGTAGAGCTATCCGAGCATTTGATAACCAATAGAAAGTTGCATTGGTCATATGTTGTGAATTCTGTATTTTATATGTTATAGGTAAATACATCTTCACTGATCATGACCTAATTTTTGCGGTGCCACGCATGACTTCTAAGCTCGATGCCTGCATATTTTTTATGACCGAGTGAATAGAGAACTTAGGGGAGCAGACGGCGTTGCGTAATATTTTGTAATATTTGGAATGCAAAAGGGAACCTGTGCATTGTTGAAGGATTTGATGGCTGGAGAGGGTAACTAACATTTCTATTTGTTAGGCCAAGTTGATCTTGATTATTTTTCCCTCTGAAAATTCTTTCGAGACGGTATCTCCATTCATTACAGCTTCCTGCTGTCATGTTTAATCTGTTTAATAAACATTTTCCTCATATTTTTGTAAAGACTAGACTGTTGAGATATTATAGTGCATATTACTACTCCGCAAGAAAAAGAGAAAGATAAGAAGGTACAAAATTATGTCTTCCGGAATTTTTTTGTATGGTCAGTGAATTCTTGAATAAACTATCTATAAATGTCAAGTTAAAAGGTTTTGAAATACTTTTCAGTATTCACACACTTTCGAAGAAATCATAAATTAATAGTCCATTAAAATAGTCGCCCTACCCCACTCCCTGGAAATCTTGAAAATTTGCAACTACACATTACCCTACCTTCAGAATCTTCTTCTGGGCACAGTTCTTCCGAGTCGATAACGATTCCGACTTCAGTCATCGGAAGTCTGGCCCGTCCGAATACAGTTTCCATCGTGACGTTAGGACATGTGCGTTCTAATTAATGTAATAGTAAAATCCGGTTATTTGTTAAGGAGTCGGGGCAACTCGGACCCAGGGACAACTCGGCCCCGCTGCAAAAACTGTCAGTTTATGCAGGTTAGGGGTAGGGGTAGGGGTAGGGGGTAGGGATTAGGGTTAGGGTATACAAAAAGGAAACCATGACCGATTTTGCAGCGGGCCCGAGTTGTCCCCGCGTCCGAGTTAGCCCGAATATTTTTTTTTTTTTTTTAAAGGTTCATATTTCCAAGGGACCTTAATTAATTCCGAAAGATGCGTTACTCTGAAGGCTCATCATGATATTTCTATAGGTTAGTAATTCGAAAAATGACACACGCCTTAGGGGAGGGGGTCACGCTTTCTGAATAACCAATTTTGTTTCACTTTATGAATGATGAACCTGTGAATATATGAAACTTCGGAAAAATGCAACAAACATTCGGAAATATGAACCCTATTTCAGTTTCGGAGTTATGAACCCCCTGAACAAAATTGGGGCTTGGGAAAACGAACTTTCGGAAAAACGAGTCCCTCCCGCAAGCCGTTATATAATCTCCATCATCTATCATCATAAAAAAATATAGAAAAGGCGGTCAGACAGACGAATATCTCAGTTTTGTAAGCAATATCTGATATCATTGGTTTGTGTGTACAGGATGTATATTCTAAAACTAGAATGGATGTTCTAAAAAGAATTGTTACGGAGGTATGAAAGGATATACAATATAATGCATGTTTGATTTACAGAAGTTATTACAACAGATACGCCTTTAGGGGTGTCGTCATAGAGTATTTTAAACACTGAAAGAAAACAATAAATGGTCGTCGGCTTGATCTCCTACGAGGCACTTTTTTAACTTAAGCAACACATCAACTGCTTCTCGCCACCCATATATTAGCGTCAGTAAAATGACACCTGACTTGTCGTGCTCCCTAGGGATTGGAGAAAGTGAATCTCATGGCTAGGTTGATAATTTTCTGTAAACCGCCTAAATATATCTTAAAGGTATACAAAGTTTGGTATGGGGTCATGAATTTGGTTCAAATGAACATATTGGAAGCATATGCGATCCTACAATATTCAGTGATCGTTGACGCGGTCGAAATCGAGTCTAAAGTGATGAAATTGTAAATAATACACTCTTTATGTTGTATAGCTTCCTCTCAAGGTCAAGATATTAATTAAGCTATAAAACAATGTTTCTTGACTAAAATCGACCGATAAGCTATTCCCGTTTGGAAATTATATATCACAACTACATTCTGAGATTTTCATGGTCGCAGCATTGTGCGGCCGTAGGCGCTATTTGAAATGTATCAAAATTTACCGGGAGCACCGGTCATTTTTTATATTAAATCTTTCTCGAAAGCAGAAGTGTTTTAGGGGCTAAATTTTCTAGTGCTTATAATACTTTCACATGGGCATCCATGTGGGCATTTCCCAAAACTTTGTATTACCTTTAAAGTATATATTCATTGATTTTAAACACTAACTTTATTTTCATTTATTGCAAAATTGAAACTTTGATTCGACAAGGTTATCAAAATTCAATGTTTGGAAACATTCGAAGTAATGATTATTATGAATTACAAAACGCTTAAATACATCCCTGGCACAGCACCTGAAGAGCTCTCCGAACGCTGCTGAGATGTGTGACATCACAGGATGGACATGATTTGCACAAGCAGACGATGTCCCATGACATCTCACACATTTCGGTGCCTGTTTTTTTTTATCTTCTCTTGAGTTTTGTCTCTTACATCACTACCGTCAGGTTAAATGTATAATCTATTGCCTCACTCTAAACCCCGCTCATGGTTTTATTTTGATGACAAACGCAGCGATACAAAAATAAAGGAATCTGTCGCTTGTAAACAAAAATAAGACGCCATTGTATTTTCAGCTGCACACACCGCGGTATGTTCGGCGTTTCAAGAGGAAACAAATGCCGTCCTTAATACCATTCCGGGGGTTTTTCAATTTGAAATTCTGGTTTCTTTGATTGTTAATTAACCCCTATCCCGTGTATTTACAAACAAAATATTTTAGTTATCAGAACCGGATTCATATCCCTTTATGAATGATATAGTACAGCGGATTAGCTCCAAATATAATGAAAATTGTGCACTTTTTGATAAAAGCATGAAACTTCTAGCATAGTTAGTTTAGACCATAAGATTTATTTTCAGATGTGGAGGGAAGTCAGATTTGACCTCTGATGACCCTGAGAGGTCAAATCCAAAATGGCCGCCAGTCTGTATGGTCTAATGTACAAACACGCTTAACTTTTGAACCAAATAGTCCAGAAAAACGTTTAAGGTGTCATTTCCAACTAACTTGGGGATGCCAATTCATTTGGTAATACTTTTGAGATCGCCTGAACTCAGGGTTTTGCATTTAGGTTAAAGGTATTACAAAGTTTTGGTATGGGGTCATGAATTTGGTTCAAATTAACATATTGGAAGCATATGCGTTCCTACATTATAAATTGATCGTTGTCGCGGTTGAAATCGAGTCTAAAGTTATGAAATTATAAATAATAAACTCTTTATGTTGTTTAGTTCCCTCTCAAGGTCAAGATATTAATTAAGCTATAAAACAATGTTTCTTTACTAAAATCGACCGATTAGCTATTCCCGTTTGGAAATTATGTATCCCAACTATATATTCTGAGATTTTCATGGTCGCAGCTACCATTGTACGGCTATAGGCGCTATTGGAAATTTATCAAAATTTACCGGGAGCACCGGTAAATTTTTATATTCAATTTTTCTCGAAAACAGAAGTGTTTTAGGGGCTAATTTTTTTGAGGGCTTATAATACATCCACAGGGGCATCCAAATATATCAAAATTGTAAAGATTCACTACCCACCCAATTTTCAAAATTTCCCAAAACTTTGTATTACCTTCAAGGTCAAGGTCAAAATTGACTTAAAATAGCAAGTTTTGAATGGTTACAAATGAGATTTGTCATTTGTTCTCAATTTTCTTTAGGAATGGTTCCCCTGCATAGTCCTCCACCTTAATCCTTTTCAGGTAGTTTATTTCTCATTCTGTTTTGACCTCTGATGACCCTGAAAGGTCAAATCCAACATGGCCGCCAGTCCGCATAGTCTAATGTACAAACGCGGTAACTTTTGAACCAAATAGTCCAGAAAAACGTTTAAGGTGTCATTTCCAACTAAATTGGGGATGCCAATTCATTTAGTAATACTTTTGAGATCGCCTGAACTCAGGGTTTTGCATTTAGGTCAAGGTCAAGGTCAAAATTGACTTAAAATAGCAAGTTTTGAATGGTTACAAATGAGATTTGTCATTTGTTCTCAAATTTCTTTAGGAATGGTTCCCCTGCATAGTCCTCCACCTTAATCCTTTTCAGGTAGTTTATTTCACATTTTGTTTTGACCTCTAATGACTCTGAAAGGTCAAATCCAAGATGGCCGCCAGTCCGCATGGTCTAATGTACAAACGTGGTAACTTTTGAACCAAATAGTCTAGAAAAATGTTTAAGCTAGGTGTCATTTCCAACCAACTTGGGGATGCCAATTCATTACGCAATACTTTGAGATCGCCAGAACTCAGGGATTTGCAATAAGGTCAAGTTCAAGGTCATATTAGGCCAAAAAAGTGATGTTTTCTTTTTTAAAATAAACTTTGCCTCTATTTTGACACTTAAGGGGTCATCATTTAAAAAATAAAAAATAAAAAACCTGTGTACCACCACTTTGACTATCCAGGGCCATATTTTATAGAGCTGCTTATCGGCTGGTTCTGTGCTTACGTATGAGTTTCTACTTCATAGCACTGCTAACCGTAAGCACACGAAAATGCATTAACCTTACGCTGCTTACTGGACGAAAATTAATTTTGTAACAATGCAAATCCATTGTGAACGCACAAGGTGGACGCCTTGTTTTCTTGCTAACCAAATTTGTCTGCTACAGTTATAGCACGAAAATTTGATTACCGGTAAGCAGCTTTAAGAAATTGGGCCCAGAAGACCAAAAAAGCTATTCCAAATACGACCTAAAACCTGTTCATTACCCCATGAATTTAGCACTATCCACAACTTATGAAGTATGTTAATGGTAAAGATCAAAATCTAACAGTCTCCAGAACAAGAGCACAGTTCAGTGCATCCTTTCTTGCAGCGACAGTGGATTATTCATGGCACAATTTGATGCTTCCGGGAGAGTGATCTAAAGAGGCTGCCACCCAGTTGTTTCGTTTGTCCAGCCCAAGTCAGATGGCTCTGGCATCTCTGGATTCTTGGCCAATATCTGGTTCCAACAATTGGCCTGGTAGCAAGTGCGCTTGATGTGCTGCTCGAGTGCTGTCTGGGTTGGAGGAAAGTTCTCCAGGTTTCTAGAATTCTGTGCGATGAGCTGTTTCCTGGCATCATTCACTACCATGCTCTCACTGGTTCGGTCGTATCAGCACCACAAATCGCTCTGGCAGTAACATTGATCCTTCACTGACCTCGCTAGGCATGCACAGGAGTTCACTGAAGGAATCATTCACTTCTGGGAAAGACTTCTAAGTTTTCCCTCTGGATGCAGAAACAGTCTGACACCCGGTGAACGCATGAAAGATTGGGAGAGTCATACATTGTGTCGGACTCATGGTGGCAACCATCATGATTTTGTGAAAAGCTATGTACCGAAAGCTTGATCTGACACCAAAAGCGATCCACAGCATCAGGAGCTGTCTTGCTGAATGAAGCCACAGCCAGCTCAACCGCATCAGTACCACCAGTACGTATGGTTGCCCTTTTACACCCTTGGGGCAAGGCCTGCCAAGTGTGACTCAGTAGGAGAGCAGAGTACTCCACTTCCATCTGTTGCATATTATACAGTTCCTTGCCCTGTGGTAGAGGAAGATGAACGACATGAAATCCAACAATTCGGGTTTATTCTCATTGACTCGAAAGAAGTCCTTCCAGCTTTCTGGCAGCACAGTAGAAAGAGCCACC